CTATCTAGAGGCAGAGCCAGCTGTACCCGCCCCCTCCACCGTCCGTTCCGCCAGTCAGCGCTGGCGGATCGGAGCGGGGAGGGGGGAATCCAGCCCCTCCCCTGTCATGGCAGAGAGCTGTGACAGGATCGAGAGGTGAGCGAATGCCGGTATGTGTTCGCTCACCTCCCGATCTACTGAGCCGACCTGTGACAGTCTCATTGTCACAGGTCGGCTAGAACTATGAGGTGAGTGAAAAGCACTCACCTCATAGTTCACCTTTAAACTGATATACATATATACTGTATACATTTTACATGACAAAGGATTGCCAAAGCACTATGGGTCATCTAAAAAAAATGTGCATATCAGTAGTTATCTTCTTTCAGGCATGCTGTCTCTCACTGAAGCCTCAAACAGAGTCATAGAGAGGAAAGGGGAGGGAAGTCGCCAGGAGAGACTGGTAAATGTAAAAAGAAGCCTTAAGTGCCATCAGGTGGCCAAAAATAAGAATGCAGAACATTGTGTATTTACCTAACAATTTTTAGTCCTAACCATAAAAATAGAAAACATATGCAATGCCACTACTATGTTCTGTTTAAGGCTGAGCCACAGGTTCCCACAGATACTCAACAACATCAATAAACCTTCATTAATCATGCTGTCACTCACTGAACTGCATTTATGAAGATCTGATTGGTTCGCTCTGATAAATAAAGAACACAGTGATGGGATTTTAATGATTTGTGAGTTAGGTGCACTCAAGCTAGTCAAACTTACATCTGTTATAGTGTTCAGAGCAGTATCTGCGCCAATGCTGAAATCTGAACCGGGGACATTGTTGGAGACAGTGGCGGGCACCATAACCATAGGGATACAGAACTCATCATATTTCCCTCGAGCAACAGTCAGCTCCATCAGTCCCAAGTAGGCCTGGGATGTAGGCACGGTGTAGGAAGGAAAAAAGACACAATAGTGGTTGTAGGGGTGGAAAAGGATCTTAATGGAGCCATGGGGAAATCCATAACAAACACAGCACACAGAAAGAACCACTACACATAGTACAAATAAAGACAAATAATGTAACAATCTTATAATGAAAACACAACATACATCACCTAAAGACAACATTACAAATGGATTTAAACAGATACATTTGTGAAATTTGTATTCATAAAACTAAAACAAAAAAATTATGAATAATAGAGTCACAAGCCAAAGCCAATATGTAAGAAAATAAATAGAAATAATTCTATAAATAACAAACATGGGCATTATATCATTATTTTAGAACATACACATTATTTTTTAAT